CCCCAAAACCCCAAAACCCCAAAACCCCAAAACCCCATGAGATTCTATCAGAATATCTAAGTTGTATCTTAAGTCAAAATGCATCCATTGAATATAATTAAATATATGTTTCAGCTACTTATAGGAGTTTTCTCTGTATAATCAATCACTCATGATGAGAGAACTCATTTAATGTGTTTGAATAGACCACCGTTGTAATACTGATTTTCCCATTTGGTAACTCTGTCCTTTCTCTTACCCATATTCTCGAGCAAGTGAGAAGGCACCTTTATACCAGCCCATATTCTTGTATCTTCTTGATCTTCTCCTTGATCTTCTTCATTTATGTTCCCAGATAGTATACCATCCAAAGTGCTATGTACTATCTTAGATATCGAAGAATTTTTGCTTAGCTTTAATCCTCTAATTGGCGAAGAGTTCACACTCAATGATTTTATACTATTGTCGTAGCCATAGAGTGCACTATTGGCTTAGGAATATATATCATTAGCTATTGTATCACTTGTAACCACCTTTTACTATTGATCTTTCAGATTCTTCAAAAAGGCCAGCTTAGCAGCTTGGATATTCGGTAACGGAGCATCTTCATATTCTTTTTATTACTCCATAGATCTCAGTATTCTAGAGGCGTTGATAGAGTTCATAGACTTGCCTATGTCAGTCTTATTGTGATAATTCTGTTGATAGCTGGTTGTATATTGATTTGGAACTATCGGTTTTTACATTCCAGATTGCTTCATTAAAGTGGACTACAAGTCCATTGATATAGATTAGGGAGGCAGGATGGAGTTATTTTCTGATCTTAGTTTTAATGATTAGACTTCACTGGTGTTTGTAGATTAGTTATGCTCAGATGGCATATAGCCCACTACATTTTTCTTGTTCGGATGATTTAAGAATTAGTTGTGAGATCCTTTGGGTTGATATCTCCATCCTGATGGATTAAACCTGCATGGAGTCCATTCATACTCAAAGCTCTCATCGTTATCATTGTAAGCATTATTCTTTGAGAGAAATTGCTTCTCCATTTTATCTCTTAACTGATTCCTATTGCTTAGTATTTATTACCCCACAGCTTTCTTGATAGACTATGCATTGTATGTCTCCATCATTCTACGAGTTAATGTGACCTCTTACTTGTTTCTGAGATCTTAATAGTGTCTGTCCTATTCTTTATCAAAAGATTGATACTGCTTCTTTGTCTCAGTCTGATATAATTCTAGGTTATCATTATACTTCTCCAACTAAGTCATATTGTTCTTGATTGGTCTTAGAATTTCTTCCATCTGTCTATGACTGTACTAATGTGACCGATCATATTTAGGTTTATGATGTGTCGCATTGACTGTATTGTGAAAGTCATGACTTCCATGTCTTTTATGCGAGTTCACTAATTTTAAGTTTAGACCGTTTAATTGATTGTTTTAATTTCCCTTTTGTTCCTGCTAACGCTGTGGTGACAATGAATTATTATTGTGATTAAGCTCAAGATTAATTTTAATTGCAGGTAGAATTGTGGCTGGAGTATCAATAACATTTATATTATTAGAGCCCCTATTAGGAGAAGACATGAGTCAAATATAATAATTATTTCTGATAAATTTTAAATATTCTTTAATATTAATTTCCTATAATAGATTTCACTTGCTGGGGTTTTGGGGTTTTGGGGTTTTGGGGTTTTGGGG